TGTCTGCAATCTCTCTCCCTGTTCTGGGAGACAAAGGTTGCACTATAGAGCTCTTGGCAGGGTGCCTGTGCTTCCAGGTTCCGAAGTTCCAGGTTCCTGACCTTTGGTCAGGCGAGACCGGCAGTAAGTGCTTACCTCTAACCAGGTTATTGGACTGGAAACACCAGTTTAGGGTCTACAGAATCCCATTTCAAACTTCTTACTTGAGGGAAGAGGCGGCAGAGGTGTGCAATTGTGCTTGTATTTGGTGCAGTGTTCTGGGAAAGGCTTTGGGTCCAAATGTGGTCTGGAGTTCTGTTTCTGATTCTTACATGACTAGAGGCACTTAGCTCTCCAGGCCCCTTCCTCCTCTGAGGACCGAGTCAGCATGTGGGACAGACAGTGTTTTCTTTTCTTTTCTTTTTTTTTTTTTTAGAGGTTTATGCTATAGGGTGCGTGCGCTCGTCAGAGAGACAAAGCGAGAAATCACCCCCCAGGGGGGATGACCACGCCGTAATCCCTTCTCCTTCATTCTCCTCTCGGGATCTTGGGCACACATGCACATGTGCCTGGCGTGAGTTTAAGCCACCGGGTCCAGGACTCGAACCGCTATCGACTACGTGGGAGTCCAGTTACGCTAACTGCTGGTCCCAGACTGTGTGTTTTCAACAAGGTAGTGCCCTTAGCAGACCCTGGCTGGGCCCACCTCTGTGACAGGCCCAGGTACGATCGCAACTGTGGGGAGGCTGGCGTCCATGCTGGCGTCTTCCCTTACTAGGTCTCTCTCCCTGGGATTGTGGGTGTCATCCACCCCTGGGCCACGGGGCCTCTGCAGGTGTAGCCAGCACTGGGAGATGGTGCCTCTGCAGTGAGCAGTGTTGGACTGTGGTGCTCAGCAGTTACCTGCATGATAATCAATCCTTAAGGTCCTTTTTGCTTTCAAAAAATTATTTATTTAAGGGACCAGCAGGTGGCGTGGTGGTTAAGGCTCTGGATTCCCACATAGCTGGTCATGGTTCAAGTCTCAGACCTGGAGGTTTGCTTTCTCATTTTCTCTCTCTCTCTGGTGAGTGCCTATATCATGTTTAAAAACAACAATAATAAATCAAATTTTAAAATTATTAAAAAGTATTTTGTTAATTGTGTATTATCTTTTTTTTTAAGAGAGATTTTTGCTCTAGGGTGCTTGCACTTGCCGGAGCAAGAGAGACAGAGACAGAGAGATGGGAAGCAAGAAATCACCCCTGAGGGGGGGATAACCATGCTGCAATCCCTTCTCCATTCTCCTCCTGGGATCTGGGCGAGCACGCACATGCACACGCACCTAGTGTGAGTTTTAAGCCGCCAGAACTTGAACCACAGTTAACTACACAGAAGCCTAGTGACATAACCAGTATGCCATCTGCCGGTCCCATCATCATCATCATTTTTCAATTTGACCAGAGAGAGAGAGAGAAAGGTAAAGGAAGAAAGCAAGCTGCTAGGTCTGGGACGCAAATTGCAGTTGACCATGTGGGAGTTCAGCACCTTAACCACCTGCCGGCCTCGCCCCTATTTTTTTCCCCTAGAGCACATGTGCTCACTAGAGAGAGTGCAAGAGCACCCTCCCCACAGGAAGTGGCCACACAGCAATCCCTGCTCCTCCAGCTCTCCTCTCTGCCTCCTTTCCCAATTTCGAGCACACGCCTGCCTGACGCATTTTTCAGGCCTCCTGGGTCCAGGACTCGAACTGGCCACCTGGGATCCAGCACCTAACCAGCACAGCAGGGCTGCCTCCCCCCACCTGTTTATTAATAACAGTTACTGCTAATATCTGTGAGTACTTTGTGCCTGATGTCTGGGTCACCGGTCTCAGCCAGCCTGAGCTGTCATCGCCCTATGTTAGAGGTGAGGGGACAGGCCAGAGGTGTCAGTGACTGAGGCCCCACTCACAGTGGCACAGCGGGACTTGAGCTCAGTGCACACGTCGGCCCACACTTCCTCAGGTGAGGCAGCCTGCGAGGTGCCCACCTGTTCTTTTACAGGAGCCTCCATGTTCAACTGGGTTTCTCTAGTTTTGTTTCTTTCCTTTTTTTCTTTCCTTTTTGCTGTAGGGCATGTGCGCTTACAGGAGACAGAGAGAGAGAGATAGAGAGAGAGGGAAACTGAGAAGGCACTCCCAAGGGGATGTCTTCGCCACACTTCTCCTCCACTCTTCTGCCAGGATTTTGGGCACACACTCACATGTGCCGGGTTCGGGACTTGAACTGCGCAGTCGTCCATGTGGGATCGTCTTAATGTCCACGCCATCTGCTGGCCTAACCTGTCGTTTTCGAAGTTCCTTGTGTGTGCTGTCAAGGTCGAAATCTGCCCTCCTGACTCGCTGTCCCCCGGGGCCTTCGGGTCTCATCCCCGGGACTCGGCTCTCCGCACCTGCTGTCTGCCCTCAGCGAGCCCCGCGGCCCCCTGCGGGGCTGTGGCGTGTGCTCTGCCTGCTGCTCTCCCTGGCTCCGCCCCTCTCTCCTGTCAGATTCCAGCTCAGACGCTGCCCACCACCCAGCCCAGAGTAGCCTGGCCGTTTACTGTCCTCCCACAGCCGTTACCACCCGGATTTTCTCTGGTTTTTCTTCGTTTTTTTGACTAGAGGGTAAGTCGTTCTCCCTAGAGAGAGAAACAATGAAAGAGAGAGAGAAGGCACCCCCACTGGGTGTGGTCACACTGCAGTCCCTTTCCTCTCCATCCTGTTAGGATTTGGGGTGCACATGCACCTGGTGTTTCGTTTTCAAGCTACCGGGACTGGGTTCAAATGGCGCGGTCAGCCACGGGGGTCTGATTCCTTAACCACTAGGCCACGAGACTGGCCCTAGCTACTTAGTCCTGTTTCTTTAATGTGCCAGGTGGTGTGTGTGTGCGCCAGAGAGAGACACAAAGAAGGGGAGTGGGAAGCACCCTCCACTGGGGCACGGTCACACCATAATCCCTTCTACTCCTTTTTTCCCTCCTATGTAGAGTTTGGGGATGCGCACACATGTGCCCTGTGTGTTTTTCAAGCCACAGTTGCCAGGATTTGAACTGTGGTCGGCCAGGTGAGATCTGGCTCCCTTAACTGCCAGTCCATGGTGCCAGCCTAAGCAGCGGAGTATTAGTCAGCCTTGAAAAGGAATGGAATTCGGACCTAGGTGCAGCATGGATGAACCTTGAAGACCCGCTAAGTTAAATAAGCCAGACGTGGAACCAGCAGACGGCGTAGAGGTTATGTCACTGGACTCTCACATGCCGACTGCAGATTGAGTTCCAGACCTGGTGGCTTGAAACCCAGGCCAGGCGTGTGTGCCTGCATGCCCAAGATCTCAGGAGGAGAGTGGAGGAGAAGGGATTATGGTGTGGCCATCGCCCTTGGGGGGCGATTTCTCACTTTGTCTCTCTGATGAGCACATGCACTCTATAGCAAAAATGTCTCTAAAAAAAAGCCACTGAGCCGTATACTTAAACTGGTTAAGGTGGAGCCAGTAGGTGGCGTGGTGCTTAAGACGCTGGACTCCCACCGCGGTTTGGGCCCTGAGCCTGATGACTTGCTGTCTCATTTTCTATCTCTCTCTGGTGAATGTACTTGTCCTAAGGATATTAACAATAATAATAAAAATAAATAAAATTAATTCTTCAACCTTATTTATTTGTTTTTATTTGATCGAAAGGGGCAGAGCAAGTGAGAGAAGGAAAGTGAGAAAGTAAGCCACCGGGCCCAGGACTTGAACTGCGGTCAGCCATGTGGGAGTCCAGCGTCCTTAACTACCTCACCATCTGCCAGCCCCAAAATTAAATAATTCTTTTTTTTTTTTTTTGGAGAGGATTTTGATATAGGGCACGTGCGCTCGCCAGACAGACAGAGACAGACAGAAAGCGACAGGGGGGATGGCCACGCTGCAATCCCTTCTCCCCCGTTCTCCTCTCAGGATCTTGGGCATGCACACACACACACCCAGCGTGAGTTTAAGCCGCCGGGTCCAGGACTGGAACCGCGGTTGACTACGTGGGAGTCCAGCGACATAGCCATTATGCTAACTGCTAGTCCCAATAATTCTTTAAAAAAAATAAAAACAAAAACGGTTAAGACGGTAAAGTCTGCGCTGTGTATTTTATCACAATGAATGTCCAGACCTGAAGAAAAGATGCTAGTCTGTCTTCCCTAAATCTAGTATTAGCTAGCAATTGTCACCTTCCCTCTGCATCTTAAAACTGGGCGAGGGTGCTTCGGAATTCTGTGGAGGGAGCCACACTGTGGCACAGCAGTGAGACCCGGGTGCTCCGGGCGGCTGACCCCACGACAGGCTCTGAGGTCACACCCGGACACCTCCCTGAGTATGATCCAGGTGGCGGGGGCTGGGTCATGGGGTCAGGACCCCGATGGGCGCACTGTCTCTCTCACAGGAGAAAGAGAAATATTCTTAAAAAGAGTAGCAGTAGTGGGACCGGCAGTTAGCTGGTCACAGTAATGGCTGCGTCGCTGGACTCCCATGTAGTCGAGCGCAGTTCGAGTCCTGGACCCAGTGGCTTAAACTCATGCCGGGCATGTGTGCGTGCGTGTCCAAGA